GCTAATCTTGATTTGTCATTAAGACTTGACACAAATGTGTGCATTAAAATTAAAGGAAGTATCGCCCCAACAAAGATCCTTTATAGATGACAGGCCAGGACTGTTTTATAAACTTCATGTCCTGAATGAAATCTCCAAAATATTTACAACAGTGTTACTGCAAAATATATACCGCCAGGAGCGATGCCTACATCAGTAATGGAGTTATGGCAAGCACCTTGCCAGTAGGATTCCATACTCTAAGGATTCAGTATCAAATTAAAGGCTGGGCACTGAAGTTTAAGGGACACTCTCTGGATGCCTAAAGCTTTTTAGATTGCTGAAGTGCTTTATGTGTGTGGAGTGTCTTGTGTTTTTTTTATTTTTTATTTTCATAAAGTGCAGACTTCAATATAAATTGGCCCTTTTATATATTCACCTTGTTACTCCCTGTAGCGGAGATCCAGTATTCCACAGGTTATCTCCACTTAAGATCCCAGTGAGGCTCAGGAACAAGTAATTATAAATCCATAAAGCAAGGTTTCCAGCATGTAAAATAATCCAGCAATATCCCAACAGCAATCCCAATAACTGGACGACACACAGCATCAGGAGCAGAACTAAAAACCTTTATTTCACAGTGGCCTTATAAAGCATTCTCCCATGCAAGGGAGGGATTTCCATTAATTACTACAGTATCCAATCCGGCAGTAGTAACCTCCCACACATCTCCTCCCCTCAGCCTGACTCATAATCCCCTTATACTGTACACAAATTCCCCCAGTTTCTGGATGTACCCCTAAATCTAGGGGTACCCCTTTAAATGGCACATCCCCTGGTAGCCCTGATCTGGGTGAGCAACATATCCAAAAATCACCCATATCGGACCAGGGGTTCGGGAAATTCATGGAGGTACTAAAAAGACCGGCCGTGCTGGAGAGAACAGCCGAATTGGGCTCCATGCGATGGGGCCCTGCGGTCGGTCACAGTATAAGGGAATAAATGGCACGAAAGGCTAAGGCTACAGAGATCAGGTAGGGTATGAATGAATCCCCTCGTTCGGTTGTTTCTGTCTACCGAATGAGGGGCCGTTCAGTAGTTTGGAAACGAACAGACCGGGCTTGTGGAGGTCTCAGCGGTGTTCGCCTAGTCGAGTGTCCGATTTGGGTTCCAGACACTCAACGGCAAAACACCGCTGTTCGGGAGTTTTAAAATGGCAGCCGCCACGTGTTCGTTTCCCGAATGGCAGCCACCCCCGAGAACAAAGGACCTACTGCATAGCTTGTTAATTACCCATTCGCAACATTGTTGCCATGGGTAATTGAAGGCACACTCCACACAGGGGAGGTCTGACTGTTCGGTAGTTTCATTCCCTTAGTTTGTGCGAATGATTCTACCGAACAATCAGACGAATACACGTTATTTGGACACATAAAAACCAGCAATTTACCCGAATACAGTTATACACATGCAATTTTCAGGACAGCCCAGTGCCATCCGCTACACTCCCCTACCCCCATAGCTTTTAACATTCAGACAGTTCCTTCTACTACTGGTTTGTTTAACTGCGTTGCGCTAAACTCAAGAGGCCGCAATTGCCCAGAGCACCTGTTTAACATTGAGTTGCATTGGGAAGTCTTTGATTGGACAACCACAGAAAGCGTGGGCTGGGTTAGAAGAGGGTCTGCAAAGGCAGCCAATAATAGAACTGCAGTTTTTGCAAGGTGGTGTTTTGTTTTTGTTTTTTTAGATATATCCCCAATGACAAACAATGAAAATTGCATATTTAAATGCACTCATGTTTTCATGTCTTTTTTTATTTATGCAGTGGAGTGTCCATGAAAGGTGCACAAACACATATGTACAAGATATAAAACATAACCTTTGTCCTTTGTGCCAAATAACAAGCCATTATGCGTGATTGGGGGAAAATAATTACAATACTGTCAAAATACTAGTTGACTAGTGATAGTTTTCAGAACACTATGTATTATGATGAAGCAACTTGTCCCCCATTGCTGTTCCCTGTAGTTGTATGCAATGTTATGTTTATTTAAAGAATTGTGTAATTTTGGTTTTGGGATTTTTACTTTTTCAAAACTTGTTTTGTGTCCATCTAATTTTTTGTGAAATATAATGAACACCAAGAAGAGATAGATAATGTTTTGAGTCCAACTACTACTAATAGGAGCTCATCATTTTATTTTTATTTTTTTGTATGTAGTTGATTTGTTGTGGCCTGGAGTATGTGGTATTTCACCAGGTAAAAATTGAACATACATCATTTACACAGCAAAAGGTTAAAATAGGATTAAAACTCTTTAAAAATCCTGCCAGAGAATTTATGTCCATAATCTTTCTAACGCTGGTATAGAATCAGGGTTTTAACAATACTATTTGAATTACCCATTTTATTCTGTATGGATTTTGTGTTGTATCTGCATTTATGGTTTTCACTGACAGTCCCTTGTACAAAACACATTATGACAGTTTGCATTAAATGAATGGCAAATACCTAACTTTAAGATTACACATGTTTAAGCTTTCAATGCTAGGCATAAATTGAATTCTGAAACAGGTGATTACTGCATTTTGGCTTCCTCCGTGAAAGAACCATTAAGGATTTAGAGATTCAAGAGCCGTGTATCCAGCTTGCATTTGGCTGCTTCTCTGAGACGAGCGGACCGAGTTTTAATTACATTTATATGAGATGATGGATGTTGTTCTTTAATCCCGGAATGTGTGTTACATTAACAGGCCTGTCGGTTTCATTTCCAACTGCACCCACACTGAAAGCCTTAGAAATAAATATCAAATTCTACATTTGGTCTGCAGTTTTGCCAAGTTTTATAAAGCATACTGAGATGCTTTTCTGTATAGTTGAAGCAAACCCGGCCACATACCCATGACAGTTGTGTGTAGTCATTACAGATTTTGTAAGGTAGACTTTTGCATTTAGTAGCTATTTAGCAAGATAAAGAGCTGAAAATGAATAAACCATCTACCAGTATCTTTTGTGCTAATAAGTAAACAGAGAATATGCACACATTCCAGGGTGTTGAGACTCAGGTCCATGCATATCCTAAAAGCTCGCTATAGACTGAATGTGTTCGTACAAAAAAAATTGCTCGCTTCAAATTTTTGGCAGTTCTGCGTGGATGATTTTCGTCGGACAAACCAAAAGTGTGAAAAGCTGATGCAGTCGGGATAATGAATAATCTATACATAATATAAATATTATGTCTATATTTGCAGTACTCTGGCTTTTTGCTGCCATTTCGTTCCCAAATAAAGTGAGAGGTAACTTATAAAGAAAAAATAAATAAAAGGGAACATTTATATATATTTCTAAAATGTTTGGTCAAAATAATCTGTGATACCTAAGCAAATACAATCTGAAAGATCAGGTTGGTCTCCTATAGGGGATGTAATTTTGACTCATGATACCCTTTCTAACTCTTATCAGATCATGAACACTTTCCAGGATTTAGATAGAGAAATGTTAAAGAGAGCATTATATAAAATAAACTCAAAATATTTATCACACGGCTCCAGTATGCTTCAAAACCAGAACTGTCAGTTTCTAATTGGAAAAAATAAAAAAGATGGGTCAATAAGGAGGATTGGAAATACCCTGGGTATCACATGAGAACTCTAGAAGGATGATGAAGGTAATAAAAAGGCTTCCATAAAAGAACAGGGTGGGGTGGGGGGGGAGTTATAAAGACATATTACATATTATGTCCCCATAAGTCTTATTTGTACAATAAAGAACTTGAATTCAGAAAAACTGTCACAAGAAGACCAAAGGGTGAAGAAATATGGCAGATCAATGCACTACAAGAGGGATATGGTGTAACAGTTGATTATTTCAATCAGGCGAAAGGGAGTGACACCATAAACGATGCATCATGGGCAATTTGTGTTTGACTGAAGACAAACAAGACTGCAGCAAATGTTTCAGGACCAGATGGAATTCACCTACGAGTACTTAAGGAGCTTAGACTGAGTGTCTAGAGTTGTCATTACTGGTAAATTTTCAAACTCAACAAATGTGCTTATTTTTTTGCAGTGCATAGTTTAACCAGCATGTTTGCAGGGACATTTCATAAAATAATATATAAGTAGAACAACATTGCCATGTGAGATCTCAAGAGTAGTACTGCACTTTTTGTATTAAAGGGACACTCCAGGCACCCAGACCACTTCTGCCCATTGGAGTGGTCTGGGTGCCAACTCCCACTACCCTTAACCCAACTCCCACTACCCTTAAGTGGAAAACTGCAATACCTTGCAGGGTTAACTCCTCCTCTAGTGTCTGTCTACTAGACAGCCACTAGAGGGCACTTCTGTGTTTATAGCACACATTGCGTGTGCTATAGCGGCGCTGGACGTCCTCTCACTATTTGAGCACCTCCAGTGTCGCTGAAATCCCCATAGGAAAGCGTTTTTCAATGCTTTCCTATGGGGAGGTCTAATGCGCATGCGCGGCATTGGTAGCGCATGAGCATTAGGTCTCCCCCTCTGGCGGCCGCGCATGCGCAATAGTTCTCACCGCCGGATGAGGAGCGTGGGTGCACCCTGACCCAGCACCGAGGGACATCGGCGCTGGATAAAGGTAAGTCACTGGGATGGGGGTGGGAGGGAGAAGGGAACCTGCTGTGCCAGGAAACCGGTTTGTTTTCCTGGCACTGGAGAGTCTCTTTAATAAGAAATAGACTCAGACATGTCTAGTGATATAGAGAAATGGTGAACATTAACTTTGTTTATGCCAGTGCAAATATGGAAGAAAACAAAGGAAAACGCATGTCTGCATATACTGTATCCTGTGGCACCATAGGCTCTCACCCTACCGCTCAAGATTTAAGCAAGAGGTAAGAAATAAGGAACACAAAAAAAGATGAAAACATGCATACTATGCTGCCCAACCGACTGACTAAATAGTGTCCGCAACTGTGTCACAAGAGCTATGCGTAGAGCGGATCTCCACTCAGCCGATCCCTGTAAGTGGCAGGAGTAGGGAGCAGTCCAAAATAGTCAGGCTTCAGCCTACTCTGTAGTGCCGGGGCAGGTGTCCCCTCCAGCCAGAGGCCAGGCAGTGAGCCAGCAATCGGTCACCAGAGACCAGGGAGCTTAAAAGCGCCAAACCTTTTCCTTTGCCGGGAGGTGCAGAAGACTAGGAAGGTAAGTGCCTATAACAGCGGTGGGCTTTCTGCCTGCGTAGTCGATGCCTGAGGCCACTGCATCTGGGGGCTCTTGGCCCAGGATGGCAGTTGGGAACTTGAGGGAATGAATGTGCAGTAGTTATGCCACGACGGGATCCCCTCCTCCTCGGCTCTGTGTGACTTCTGGACAACCTTTAAAGGCTGAGATAGCAATGCAAGCCGAAGTTTGAGCCAAAATGTATTGAAGGTGTCATTGAGGCGCGATAAGATGCAATCAACTGAGCGGCTGTTGGGTAGCTGCGATGAGCCCCTGCTCCTTGTGTCAGATCGTGGGGTAGACTCCATCTTGGGAAACTAGGCTAGCTGTATTGCACACAAAACACAAGAAAAGTATGGTAGAAACCTCTCAGGGCAATCCAGTTAAGGACCGGGATAACCCCCACCGGTCCCAAGGAGGGGGGGGGGGCGCTTTGGGGCACAGTAGTTGCTTCAAGATTCACGAGGCAGGGAGATTGGCCGTCTCTCCCTAGGTCCGTCACAACTGGACTGCAGAGCAGAGCCACAGTAAAGGTGTCTGCATGGATGTCTGAGTTACCTTTATCCCTACAGCACACAGGATAAACAGGATGCTCCTACTGGTCTGGATTAGCACCCCAAAATCTGCCAGGGGCTCAGGAGCTCATGCCCCGCACGTCCGATCAATCTGAGAGCCAGGCCCTGCCCCCATGTATATATTTTTTTTAAAGAAAACAACCTAAGGTATTAAACTTGGGGGTTTTTGACTCTTTTTCATGCAACCATTTTACCACCAATCTATGCTAAATTTAAAAAAAAAAAATTATTGGTGATTTTTTTTTTTATACCCAAATAGCAATCTAAGAATACATGTACTGAGAACTTTAAGGGTTACTGCCAAAGAACACCCCAATATGTGTTCAGCATCATCTCCTGAGTACCGTGATACCCACAATGTATAGGTGTGTCGGGTTCTCTGGGGGCTAAAAGACCTTATTTGGAGGGTGCACATTCCAGTTTTCCAACTTGGAATTTTCACAGCTGGTCCTCATGCACCCATGTCCAATTTGGGACATTTTTGAAGCCGGCCAATGTAATTTACCCCATCAAAACCTATATTTTTGAAAAGTAGACATCCTAGGATATTTCAAATGGTGGTATTTTAACACTTTCCATGCACTTATTCTACCACTAGTCTTTGTCAAACTTTTGGGTAGTAATAATTTTTTGTTATTTTTCTCACATTGTACTTTAGGCATGGATTGTCAGACCCCGTTATGTGTTACTAACAAAGAACACGCCAATATGTGTTCAGCAAGATCTCCTGAGTACAATGTACAGGTTTTATGTTTTTTGTTTTTTTTTGCAAACTTACAGGGGTCAAATGTAGGGCTTTCGACTTTTCCATGTTTGCACATTGAAATTTGTCAGATTGGTTTGCTAAAAAGGGGGCGGGCAAGATAGGGTGTGTTTTGTCATCACCAATGACAAGCACGCCCCATCACAAAGTGAGCATGTTGGTTCAATGCTCTTCCAGGGTAGCTCTAGCTCTAGCATGAGAAAAAGTGCAAGCAAATTTAATAACATGCTTGCACTGTGTTTGCTTGGAATTTGTCTTTGGTGTCTCCATAGATGGGATACCAGGAGACAAAAATGCTAGGAAAGCGTATTGTGCAGTGTGTGTGTGTGAGGGTCCTGTGTGTGTGTGTAAGGGGTGTAGTGTGTATGTGATGGGTGCTGTGTTTGCGTGAGGGTGCTATGTGGGTAAGGGTTGAGTGGGTGCTGTGTTTGCGTGAGGGGGCTGTGAGTGTCAAGGGTGCAGTGTGTGTGTGTGTGTGTGAGAGAGGGTACTGTGTCAGGGATGCAGTGTGTGTGTGTGTGTGCTGTGAATGTGAGGAGTGCAGTGTGCGTGTGTGAGGGTGCTGTGAGTGTCAGGGTGCAGTGCGTGTGAGGGTGCAGTGCGTGTGTGCATGAGTGATGGTGCTGTGACTTGAGTGATTATATCCCCCCCTCCCTTCTTACCTTATGCCTAGGAGGGGGGGATCCTGCTGCTGCTACCATCCATGGTGGTAAGTGAAGTCTAGCCTGTGAGGCTAGAGTTTACTCTCGCGAGAGCCGGAGCATTGCCATGGCAACCCAGGGTATTCCAAATGGGGTATTTCCAGTCTTTTGTAGTAGCCACTTAGTCACAAACGCTGGCCAAAGTTAACATTTTTATTTGTTTTTTGCATTTTTTTTTTTAAAACAAAAACCTCACATCGATGCAATGTCAAGTGATGGTTGGAGTGGTTGAAAGCACACAACCAATGGACTCTGGAGCAGTGGAAGAATGTTCTTCCACCAAACTATTTAGCAGTGTGGGTGTTATCTGGCTGCCAGCAGAAAACTACCTATTGGAATGGATAATGTCTACTGTAATGTTTTGTGGAGGAGGGAGAACAATCCCAATATTGTAACATTTTATATATAAAAGAGAGCACTGCCACAATAACACGAAACTGAATATATAAAAGCATTGCCGCAATAGTTTAACACTGTATATAAACGACAATATCTCCACAATTGTTTAACATTGTGTATATAAACGACAATACCTCCACAATAATTTAACATAGTGTATATAAACGACAATACCTCCACAATAGTTTAACATAGTGTATATAAACGACAATATCTCCACAATAGTTTAACATAGTGTATATAAATGACAATATCTCCACAATAGTTTAACATCGCGTATATAAACGACAATACCTCCACAATAGTTTAACATAGTGTATATAAACGACAATATCTCCACAATAGTTTAACATAGTGTATATAAACGACAATACCTCCTCAATAGTTTAACATAGTGTATATAAACGACAATACCTCCACAATAGTTTAACATAGTGTATATAAACGACAATACCTCCACAATAGTTTAACATAGTGTGTATAAACGACAATACCTCCACAATAGTTTAACATAGTGTGTATAAACGACAATATCTCCTCATTAGTTTAAAATAGTGTATATAAACGACAATACCTCCACAATAGTTTAAAATAGTGTATATAAACGACAATACCGCCACAATAGTTTAACATAGTGTGTATAAACGACAATACCTCCACAATAGTTTAACATAGTGTATATAAATGACAATATCTCCACAATAGTTTAACATAGTGTATATAAACGACAATATCTCAACAATAGTTTAACATAGTGTATATAAACGACAATACCTCCACAATAGGTTAACATAGTGTATATAAACGACAATATCTCCTCAATAGTTTAAAATAGTGTATATAAACAACAATACCTCCACAATAGTTTAACATAGTGTATATAAACGACAATATCTCCACAATAGTTTAACATCGCGTATATAAACGACAATACCTCCACAATAGTTTAACATAGTGTAAATAAATGACAATACCTCCACAATAGTTTAACATAGTGTATATAAACGACAATACCTCCACAATAGTTTAACATAGTGTATATAAACGACAATACCTCCACAATAGTTTAACATTGTGCACATAGAAATAATGTAACCTTGTCAATGAAAGACAGCAGTACCATTAGTACGGTAGCTCAGGCTGTAGTAGCTGAATGTGACACTACGCAGTCCTGTAGCTGGATCCAATAGATAACTATACCTGTCTGTGATAGATGAAACCTAGATTCATGCAGCTGTAAGTCTCACTGTTGGCAGGGCCCTTGCCCACTCTCTTTAAATCGAAAATCATTTATTTTATTTCTGATTCAATGATTCTATTTTGAGACTGGCATATCCTTTGGAAATGTATAATGCACAATAATTAGACCTGTGCCTGCCTTCCTTCTGAATGGCATGCTGAAAGACATCAGCTTTCACTGTATAATTGATTATATTAATAAAAATGTTGGCAAACATCACTTCTGGTACAGGTAATCAACCCGAAATATGTTTGTTATATTTACATCACTTGTAGGATTTATTCGAATATCATGAAATACATAGGACTGAATTTATAAGAAGCAAAAATGTGTAGACGGCATGTACTTCCAAAACTACACAAACATACATGTTTTTTAAGTGCTCTAATTTTTCTTCTAAATAATGCATTTACATTTGTGTTACTGCACTGTTAAAGGGATACCCTCGGTTTATTATTGTTGGATAAGCTTTTGAAAAGATTTTGTATTTTTGGATAAACTTTTAAAATGATTTATGAAAAATGTATTTTGTAATTTGATCATTTTTAATCTATTGGTATATTTATGTATGTGTATAAATATTTGTGTTCGGGGCAACATTGATATGAAGTAAGATTGTTGTTAGCAAACCTGTGATAGGAAAATGTCGGTTGAGGTGTGCCGAAACGTATGCTATAGGCCAGTAAACAAAGTGGGCAAAAAGGAATACATTTCATGCTCAAAATACATTTGAGTAAAGAGCAGAATACAACGTAAGTACATTAACCCCTTCAGGACGGAGTCAATAGTACACGTTCTGATCAAAACAAAACGTAAACAAAAACTGGAATTTGCGCTATATGTCTGTTCAACCGTAATTCACCTCTTTCATATTAAATGCACCCATACTTATTATATATCATTTTGTTCAGGAGAAACAGGGCTTTCATTTCATATCAAATATTTATATATGAAACATAATTTATTATGAATAAAATTTAAAAAACTGTGAAGAATTTTAATTTTTTTTTAAAAAATATGTAGTTCCGCCTCACATTTTAGCTGTAAATGTCATAATACTGTTAGGTATTACTGCAAAAAAATGCCCATATTTGTAATCAGCGATGTCTCACGAGTACAACAGTACCCCCCATTAACAGGTTTTATGGTGTTTTGGAAAGTTACAGGGTCAAATATAGAACATTCCATTTTCACATTGAAATTTGCCAGATTAGTAATGTTACCTTTGAGACGGTGTTGTAGCCCAGGAATGAAAATTACCTCCATAATGGCATACCATTTGAAAAAGTAGACAACTCAAGGTATTGAACGTGGAGTATGTTTAGTCTTTTTTAGTAGCCACTTAGTCACAAACACTGGCCAAAGTTAGCGTTCATATTTGTTTTTGTGTGAAAAAAAACAAAAAAATAATATTTGGCCAGTGTTTGTGACTAAGTGGCTACTAAAAATGACTGGACATACCCCATTTGTAATACCTTGGGTTGTCTACTTTTGCAAATGGTATGCCATCATATATATATATTAATAACAAAATACAGTTAGAATGAAATTACATATGAATAAATAATATTAAATTGTTTCAATATTTTATTTATTTTATTATTTTATTTATTTATTATTGTAATTATACGTATATATATATATATATATATGTGTATATATCTATTATATATATAATATATATACATATTATATATATGTAACGTCATTCTAAGTGTATTTTAATACTAATATATATACTAATATTAGTATTAAAATACATTATGTATGACGTTACATATATATAATATGTATATATATTATACATATAATATATATACATATATTATATATATATATAAATACTTTTTATTTATTTTTAATTTAATTTATTTTAATTTTATTTTTTTACACTACCTACCAGCAGGGGGACTGTCTGATATTTCAGACAGTCCCCCTGCTGGCAGATCCACAGCCAGCTATAGGGGGCCATGTGATCGCTCTTTGAGAGCGATCACATGGCCCCCGGGGGCCTCATTCGCCGGGGAGGGCTGCCTGGGCTGTCAGGCTGCCCTCCAGAAGAGGATTGCGGCAGAGGTAAGTAGCTGCGATCCCCTGGGGCTCAAAGCCGTTACGGCGTTCTATGCCACCGCAATGGCTTTAAAGCCCTTTAAAGCCGCTACGGCATAGAACACCGTAACGGTGTTAAGGGGTTAAGATTAGATTTTAACGAATGCCCTTCGTATTTCCTGTACCGGTTGGGGTATGTGTGTTGTATATGCTGATGACTTCCAGCGACCTAGAGTTTTAATGACATTGACTGGAATGTGCTGGCTCGATGCCATAGATGCAGTCCGTATCCTAAACGAGTGTCCTGAATAAAGACTAGGGTTCATACCGAGCCTTTCTTAACAATAATTGTACGTATAACATGAACTTAGAGGTAATGAGGATAGTCCCGTGAAGTGACAGTAGTAGAAGAGATGTGATATTCGGTACAGTGAGGAGGTAGGAATCGAAAACCTTCACCGGCACCATATATTATTCGTGGGATAGTATGGAATGTGGATGAGTTGACCCAGTTCATGGGTAGAGTCCGTATGTAATGATCTTGATGTTTAATTAGGTAGGAGCTTCGAAGACAACCTTGTGCGTTGTGTTGGCCACTGATGGTGAATTCTCGTGGCCTCAGGAAGCCGTAAAAGGACAGGTTAATAGCGGTTTCAGAGTTAGTGAGGGGTTTGAAAGGGGCTGACATATTAGCAGGGACGTGTCTTCCACGAGGCAAACAAGGCATCTGCCTTGGCGGGACTTTGCAGCTTTTTTTGCCGTCCCCCAAATGACCAGGCAGATCCCTTGCTTGCCTCGTATCGTGGGGGGCTCAAGAGCCGGCTGGCCACTTTTGAGCCCCTGGGCGGCGGGTAGCAGGGGAATACGAGGGAGAATACTTACCTGAGCACTTCCTGCTCAGCTCCCTCCGCGTAGCTTACTGAAGCTAGGGAGCCGGAATATGCTCCCAGCATCACTACACTCTGTTCCAAATTATTATGCAAATTCTATTTAAGTGTCACAAAGATTAAATATTTTATTTTTAAGTTTAACTCATGGATGGCATTGCGTCTCAGGGCTCTTTTTATCACTGAAAACAATCTCGGACACCTATGATAATTAGATTGCCAGGTGAGCCCAATTTAAGGAAAAACTACTAAATGAGGCTGTTCCACATTATTAATAGGAGAACACCATTTTCATGCAATATGGGTAAGGAAAAGGATCTCTCTGCTGCCGAAAAGAGTGAAATAGTTCAATGCTTTGGACGAGGTATGAAAACATTAGATATTTCACGAAAACTTAAGCGTGAACATCGCACTATTAAGAGATTTGTGGCTGATTCGGAGTACAGACGGGTTTGTGCAGATAAAGGCACATTGAGGAAGATTTCTGCCAGATCTATGCATCGGATCAAGAGAGCAGCTGCTAAATTACCACTACATAGTAGCAAACAGAGTTTTGAAGCTGCTGGTGCCTCTGGAGTCTCACGGACATCAAGGTGTAGAGTCCTCCAGAGTCTTGCAACTGTGCATAAACCTTTTATTCGGCCACCACTAACCAATGCTTACAAGCAGAAACGGCTGCATTGGGCAGAAAAATACATGAAGACTAATTTTCAAACAGTCATGTTCACTGATTAGTGCCGTGCAACCCTGGATGGTCCAGATGGATGGAGTAGTGGGTGGTTGGTGGACGGCCACCCAGTTCCAACAAGGCTGCGTTAAAATGTTGTTATAAGTTTGATTGAAATAGCTTTTGATTTCAGTAAATATGCCGCAAACACAACAAATGACAATTTTCAGTTCTTTACAACCTATAAAGTGTTTTGAAACTTACTATGCGTAATAATTTGGAACAGTGCATTGTAAGTTTTTTTTATGTTTAAAAAAAATATACTGTTATCATTAGGAGGTTAGTTCAATAAAATTTGAATTGTACTCTTAATAGTTGATAACATGAGAATTATGCTGACTGTTATTTACATCAATTATTTAGGTAAATTAGAAAAATATCATTTGCATAATAATTTGGAACAGGGTGTAAGCGCCGCCTACTCAGCCTGTGCGCCCCCTGCCTGCCCGACCAGCAGCCACACTGGACAGGTAAGGAATCAACTCCAGCTCTCCCATGGAGGCTGGGTGGATTTTAAATAAAATAAAAATAATAATTTGTGAGTGTTGGGAGAAATGTGCATGTGTCTAAGTGAATGTGTGTGTGTCTGTAAGTGTGTATGTGTGTGGGTCAGTGAGTGTGTATGTATCGGTCAGTGAGTGCGTGCGTCTGTCAGTCAGTGAGTGCATGCATCTGTTAATGTGTGTCCAAGTAATAGTGTGTGTGTGTGTGTGTCATTGTTTGTCAGTGTATATGAGAGTGTGTGTCTGTCAGTGAATGAGCGTCTGTCAAAGTGCCACCTTGACAGGAAGGGGTAGGGAAAATTTAAATTGGTGGGGGTGCCCGAGCACCGTCCTGCCTAGGTCTGCCCAAATCCTAAATACACTGTAACGGGGTTTTGGGGGTGCCCCCTAGTGTCTTTGGGGTCCCCAAACCTAGTTAACTCACT